GAGACTTAAGATGCTCCCTCTAGCACCTGTGACAGGACAGCATTAGAGAGGGCATCTGCAGAACGTGAGGGAAGAATCATTATTCTCAGTCAGTTTGCACAAATTCATATCACATTTTTATTAATGCTTTACAATATAGAAAATTACCTTTTCCCATGAAGCTTAACTGAATTTTGAATTTTATAAATATTCAGACCTTTAAACTTAGAAAATGTGCAGGCCCTATTCTGTCATGTTTCTTTCTTGACAACTGCTTTTTCTTTTTCAGTTGGGGGTAGGAAACAAGGTCTCACTCTGTAGCTCTGACTGACTTGAATTTGCTATGAACACAAGGTTAGCATCAAGTTTATAGAAACTCATCTGCCCCTGCCTCCTAGGGTGCTGGGATTAGAGGCGTGCACCAATACACACAGTTTCTGACAATTCTCTAAGGGACTCTGTCCCTAACAAACTCTGTCACATTACTTTGCTCTGCATTTTTCATGAAGAGGACTAAGATCATGACATCAGTTAGACATCTGTCCTAAAATTGCTCAAAATAAAGTAGGCCAGCAAGGTAAGTACGGTCAGGGTGACAGACACAGGACAGTTGTGCTGTCAGTGAGTCCCATGCATTCCTCGTCACCACATCTGCTGGGGAAACCCCAGGATCCTGAGCAGCTCCTGGGCAAACTGAAAGCCCAGCTTGACTGGGAGCCTAGCCTTGGACACATCAGCAACAGACTTGAATGTGTGGCTTCCTCACTCACACAGTTGAAACTGTAGTTTTGGGGTTAGTGCTTCAATGCGAACCCAGGATATCCATTATTAGTAGACATGTTCAAGGAATCTGGGATCCTTGCAAAGTTGTCCTGAATTTTAACATTGTCAGGAAAAGGTACTGGCTTGTCACAGACCCCTTTAGAAGACAGTTTTGAAGGATGTGAAACCAAGGGAAAACAAATTACTGCTGTCTTGCTGCTAGGAACACTAACAGAGAACAGAGGACCCTCTGTAACCACAAGGCACTTTTGGGGATCAAGAGCAGAGGACCTAACTTCTTTAAGACTTAGAAACTAAATATTGTCTTAAAGATCTTCCGACGGGAGGGTATAATTTGAACCTTGTAAAGCTTTTTCTTTCTCTCATAATTTCAAAAGACTTGGTCCTTCAGCAATAAACAACCCCCACCCCTCAAGGAATACAGACTCCCTTGTTTTTGAAACCAAGTCTGCTCATTAATTTCACTTTAAAAGAGTATTAGCTCACCCCCAGGTGTATACAGACAATAACTAGACATACACTTATATGATTCCCTACTTTATTGTCACTGCAGCCATAGAATAGGTTATACTACTATAATATAGCAGAGTAGTTCCTTACTCTGCTACCATAAAAGATAGCTAGAATTTGAATGTTACCCAATATCCTTGTGTCACAAAATATTTTAAATTTCTAATTAAACATTTTTATGAGTATGTGCACATGGGCGCAGGTCTCCTGGATCTGGAACTACATGTTGCTGTGAGGTACCTGATGTGGGTGGGGGGAACTGAACTCTGGGCCTGTGGAAGAACAACAAGTGCTCTTAATTGCTGAGCCAACTCTACAGCCTCATAGAATAGTCTTTTAAGTTTTCCAGTCATTTAAAAACACAAGAAAAATTCTTAGTTTGCAGGCCATACAAAAGCAAGTAGTAGGTTGAATATGGCTACCAGGATGGAGTTTACTAACCCCCAATTTAGACCTTTGCATCCTCAAATATATTTACTGAATTTATGTTTATATGAAATCCATTGGACTTGAGTCTCCACCTCCCTCTGACTTTAACACGTAATGTGTAATACTTAATTTCTTTGTCTAATACACTTCTATACCTGCCTTGGTCAAATAATTAATTGCTAATATAACAGGGCAGTTCTTTTCTAGGTATCTACAAGTTACATGTTATATAACATTGTACTTCTGAGGGTAATTTGTCTAGAATCCCAGCTATTCTAATTTCCCTCAAGCTGGACATTTTGATCCAGAGTAATAGGATCCAGTCCTCATATCTTCCAGTCTCTTAGGAATATGAATGATTTATTGAAAGGCGAAAACAATAGACAGCCAACAGAATCACCAACAGATGCTTCGGGCAGAGACCAACTAACTAGAAAGGCCATCTTAATTCTCTAAAGGGAGGAGGCCAGGCTTCTCTGTGTGGGAGTTTGACTGGGTACTGATGAACTATGGGGAAAAATAGGAATTAAATAGAAATTGGGAAAAGTATGTTCTGAATGATGAACAAGAACATTTTCCCTTAGAGAAATGAGACAGTTTCCAGATATAGACAGCTAGAGGCCATGCAGGCTAGGTAAGTGTGACAACTGGCCCATCTGATCTTCCTGAGTAAGTCCAAGGGTGTGGGCACATCAGATGCCAGAAGAAAAAAGAGTGGAATTTAAATAGATTTTGAAGATTTTCTGTTTGTCAGCAATAGGACCACCTGCTATCTGGCTCTCTACAGGCAGAACAAAGAGGAACACCATGGAAAGCATTCAGAGAATACAGGTAGAAAATAAGAACCATCTGGACAGTGTCTCAGCTCTTCAGGAGCATATACTTTCCTGAAAGACCATTTTGGTCTCTGTCTTACCTTTCCTCATAATCCTGAGGAATTTAACTGACGGACATTTAGAACTGACAGCGGCCGTATGTAAAATACGCACACTTTGTGATGAAATCAACTGAGAACAGTGGTCTTGTGCACTGTAAACATCACAAACAGAATTCAGGGCTGGGGAAGTCAGAGCCCTGGATAGAGGTAGGGGGGATCTTCTACTGTTGTTTTACTAAATGGACATGTGGTCTAAATATTTACATTTATACCTATTAATTAGTGCTGCAGTTCTCCTTTAGGTCTCAGAAACCCCAACAGGAATGGCAGAGTGCCTATTAACATATCAAAGCAGACACCAGCCAGTTCTCCCAGCAGCACCCAGCACCTACCTGAGGCTTCTTCCAGCACTTCTCACCCCCCCCCACCCTAAATCTCTCCCAGGTGCTGGGCTTCTGCCTCCTTTCCCATATAACTCATCCACTTTGACTATGCTGGTCTCTTGGGTCTGGTGGCCTCTTTTGCTTCCCCTTGGTCTACTGGACATATTCAGCCCCCTGCCTGATTTCTCCCTTACGTCTACAATAAAAATCTTCTCCAGGGGGCTGGAGAGATGGCTCAGCGGTTAAGAGCACTGACTGCTCTTCCAGAGGACCGGGGTTCAGTTCCCAGCATCCACATGGCAGCTCACAACTGTCTGAAGATCCAGTTCCAGGGGATCTGACACCTTCACACCAGTGCACATAAAATAAAGTAAATAAACAATAAGAAATATTTTTAAAAAATCTTCTCCATACGTAGAAGTAGTCATGTCGTCCTTTTATTTCATGTTATCATTCCCTCTCAACCTTGGTCAGAGAAGCTTCTCTGTGGAGTGGGCAGCAGTTAGTGAGAGACTGTTAACTGGTCACAGTGCTGAGAATAAGTGACTGACCCTAGGTGAGACATTAGAGTCCACACATCCTTCCCAGCCAAGGCTTATGGAACACTGTGGAAGAAGTAGGGGAGCTATGCTGTGAAAGGCTCTGTCCTAGAGATGGCAAGGCTGCTGCACTTTGAACTCACAGTGGGGTGTGGTCACCTACACAGAGCATTCCAGTCACTACTCCAGCCCGCCTTGAGCTGAGCTATTGTCAGTTGATGGTTGCAGTGGGGTGGTAGAAGGAGTCTTTTTTGGGGGGTGGGTATGGCAGCCAGTTGCTCTGGCCTCTGTGGATGCTCCCCCCCCCCCATATGCATGTGCAAGCAGCAGTAACTGGACTGTGGGTTACTTAAACAAAACAAAACAAAAAAGAGGACATAAAGGTGGGAGGCTTGGAGAGTGGGTTCTATAAAGTGTGTAAGGAATTGGGTTGTATATTATCAAATTGCATTGTATATATGTATTAAATTATCAAAGAATAAATAAAATTATTAAATAAAAATTTCAATAAAAAAGCGAAATTTCTAGTTTTTGTTCCTTGAGCTACGGTCCTGCTATTTAGCTCAGGCTGGCTTTGAATTCTTGACTATCATGCTTCATTCTCCCATACGCTTGAACTACAGATATGGACCACTATGCCCAGTACACATTCTGTTCCTTACTTAATAAATTCCTAAGTCTTCTTCTCGCTTTTATGCGGAATCTGAGTGGAAACTGAAAGCCTTCTGCTTTCTCTCTAATATCTGTTTGCAAAGCAAACTGCTCCACTTTCACATCTACTGGGGAAAAATAATAAGTTATACTCATGAATTTCATTGAAACGCCACACAGTGTGCTCTTCAAATCAAGTGTTTCAACATGGCTTGATAGAGAGACTAATATTTCATACTGCGTCAGGAGCCTATGAGAATACTGTCGGTCTTAACACTTCCTTAAAGGATGAACGAAAGAAAACAATTCCCTTAAAGAAAAATGGGTCTCTGCAGGTACCCATATATACGTGGTATATATACATACAGGCAAAGTATGCCTACTCACAAAATGTAAAAACTATATTAAAAAAGATTACCCGATAAGTTGATTTGTTAAAATTCGGACAAATAGTCAACAATGACAGACATTCCTCATTTTCTCTTAGACCATCTGAATTTGCAGGCTCTGCCAGAGACAGACGCTCGGCACTGTATTCATGTGGGTGAAATGCGGCACTTCACCCACTCACTAACAACCTCTTATTTCCCAGGTAGTCAGGACCTCAGATACTGTTCTGAAATAATGCCATATATTCACCTTTCAGAAAGAGAAAACAGTGTGGGGAGAGCATAGAACCCTGTATGCCAAGCAAAGAAAAAAAGCTTTTACCTGGAAGAAGAAACCAATAAAAATTAGCAAGCTGTTCCTGGTCCAGACTCTGTTCATACCTGGACATCTGGCAGAGTCCTAATCTATTAGGATAGCACAGAGAACATAGGTCTCACCATTCCCAATGCTCATACTTACATCTTGTCTTGGCCAGCACCAACTCGCAGAGTCAACCTGGGGATAACTGAACTTGGGGGTGGAATGATAGGCTCCACTTTTATCTGCAAAAATTAGTACATTAGTTAAAAAAAATCTTCCTAAAGTATTTCCTATCTCTTCTACTTCCCCGCCCCACAAACCTAATAAACACATTCGAAATACTAGATAAAAAGACATGGTTGTGTATGTGTGTTGTGTGTAGATGTGAGTGTGGGAGGCCAGAGGTAGAAATGGGTGTCTTCCTCAACCATTCTTTGAGCTTTTTGAAGACAATACTCTCAATGAAGTGGAAACTCATCCATTAGGATGGGGATTGTCCAGTGAGATTCAGGGGTCCAAGTGCCTCTGTCTTGACTCCTATCAGTGTTGGGACTATACAAGTGCACACTACTGGTCCTCTGCTTTTACCTGTGCTCTGGGCATCAAACCCAGGTCATTATCCTTGTACTGCATCAACTAAACATTTGTCTCAGCCCCTGTCCAGGTTTTGTCTATTTGTTCGCTTTTTTTTTGTTTTTTGAGACAGGGTTTCTCTGTGCAACAGTCTTGGCTGTCCTGGAACTCTGTAGACCAGGCTGGCTTCGAACTCAGAGATCCGCCTACCTCTGCATCCAGAGTGCTGGGATTAAACGCTTATGCTACCACTGCCTGGCTCAGTCCATGTTTTCTTAACAACTGAAGGCTAATATAATGTAGTCTATGAACTTTACATCACATTAATATGACAGTTTTTTCTGGCTTATTGGTTTGTGTTATTTCTTTAGCTTTACTGTACTGTTTTACACACATATACAACACAGGGATATCACAGCATCTGATGGAATATTTATGTAACCACCACTAGAGTTTACTTACTTTTAAAGACTTATTTATTTTTATTTTATATGCGTGAACATTTTGCGTGCATGTGTGTTTGTGTGCCACATATGTGCTGGTGCCTGTGGAGGTCAGAAGGGGACATCAGATCTCCTGGAACTGCAGTTACAGACAGTTGTGAGCTGCCTTGTGGGTGCTAAAAAACAAACCTGGGTCCTCTGGAAGAGCAGCCAGTGCTTTTAACCACTGAGTAGTCTTTCCAGCCCTATAACTTCCAGACAGAACATAACAAAAAAGGCTTACCATGAGATCTTCCTTATACAACATGCATTTATAGGCTTTGATGAATGCAAAATGCACTGTAAGTTTGTTTTATTATATCTGAAGTCTGGGTAACTTACTTAGAGCACTATGTAATTCTATTTTGGGCTCAATTAAAAAAAAAAGACTTGAAACCCATATGTGTATGTGTCACAATTTCTATGATGACTATTGAAAATAAGTTTAGGACTTCAAAAACATTTGAGCTATTAGTCAGAAAGAAAATGTACAAATTTAATATGACATTACAAGGTCTCTTGACAATTAGGTTATGGTTTTTTTGAGCCTGTCCTGCAACTCACTCTGTAGACCAGGCTGGCTTAGAACTCAGAGATCTGCCTGCCTCTGCTTTCCAAGTGCTGGTATTAAAGGCGTGTGCCACTACTACCTGGTTGACAGTTAAGATCTTACCGTATAATAAATATTTTGAATAAACAACCAACCAAACTTTCTGTAGTCCTAAATTCTTATCTCCATCAGAGTTTTTCACCGGTGATGGGACAGGTAATTTTTGGCAGTTCTTTGTCATTTCGGAATGGCCCAAGCACTGACAGATGTTTCACTTGTCTTGGAATACTGCAAGCCTGTATGTCATTGTTAACCCTGACAATTATCTACAAACACTGATTTACATATTCAAAGCCCAAGAATGAAGCAATAATGAAAACATGTGGTGGGCTGTAGGGGAATATATAAAGTACTATTCAATGCATTTTATCATGCAGTTATTTGATATGGATCTTATCTACTTTCTCATACACACACACACACACACACACACAACACACCTCTCTACCTAAAGTCCATTTACAAACTTATCATCACATAAGTCTGTCGGACTACTCTCTAGAACACTGCCTGGCATGTAGTGCATGCTCAGTAAACATCTGTGGAAATAATGCTTATCTAAACATAGCGTCAACTCCCATCTCTCAGTTACCATATTACTCTTCCAGAATCAGTCCAAATTCAGCCTCTGGAGCACTAAATGACAGAAAGGGACATTTAGAAAACTTTGACTTCATGGATACCTTTAAACACTATTAGTTTATTTGGACTCCCAGCTCATTCAAACACCACTGAAACCATGTCTGTTTTGTTTAGTGTTGTTTCTCAGTGCCTATCACTGTGGCATATAAATGCTAAAGAAACACTAGCTAGGCAGTGGTGGCGCACGCCTTTAATCCCAGCACTTGGGAAGTAGAGGCAGGTGGATCTCTCTGGGTTAGAGGCCAGCATGGTCTACAAGAGGCTACAAAGCAACAGAGAAACCCTGTCTCAAAAAACCAAAAGCAGAAAGAAAGAAAGAAAGAAAGAAAGACTTAAAGTCGGAGTATAAAACTGCAATTCCAAACCATCATTTCTTTCAAAACCCTGCCATGATTTCTTTATTGTTTTTAATCAACAAAAAAGTAAAAATATCAATACCTGAGGCAGGTAAAATCTTTTAAATTACCTAAAAATGTACAAACTTCTTTGTGCCCAAGAACGAAGTCCATCTCTTTTAGGCTTTTTAAGAACCTTCTCCCTTCCTTAGCATAATTTACAGAACATCAAGCCTCTTGACTCTATTAGTTATTCTCATTAAACTCATTAAACTTTTAAATGTGCTAAGTTCTTATCTTGAAAAAAATTATCTTCCCTTTATCCTCTGGCTAACAACCTTATGTGTTTTTCAGTGTTTAACTTGCATCTTGTTATTCTCTTTATTGCCTCTGTGTCTTCAATTTTTTATTCATTATTTTAGAGACAGGGTCTCACTATGTATCCCTGGCTGGCACAGAACTTGCAACAGACACAAGGTTGGTCTTGAACTCACAGAGATCAGAGATCTGCTCACCTGTGCTTCCCGAGTCCCAAGTGCTGGAATAACACTTGGCAAAGCTATTATTTTAAAAACAAGCTGGGCGGTGGTGGCGCATGCCTTTAATTCCAGTACTTGGGAGGCAGAGCCAGGCGGATCTCTGTGAGTTTGAGACCAGCCTGGTCTACAAGAGCTAGTTCCAGGACAGGCTCCAAAGCTATAGAGAAACCCTGTCTCGAAGAAGAAAAAAAAAAAAAAAAACACAACCAACACAAAGTTGCTTCCCCCACCTTTAAAAAAAAAGTCTGCTAGTGAAGTTAGTAAAACTTTTATACACTGCACTGTGTTTGGCTCGTTTCTTTTCTATGTGATAACTGTAACAGACTTGTCCAGCATTTTAAGGAATCACCCACTCTCACACACATACATATCATCCACACTGTAGGTATGGAGGGCAGACTCTCCCCCAAATAACGACCACTCTGAAACAATGCAACGTTTGCTCAGGGTTGCAAAATTAGTAAATAAATTGTGTAAATCCAAAGTTCCTGACACAAAATCACCTCTGGTTCTAGAATATAGTTCCTTGGCTCTTGGATACTCTTTGGGTCCTGGTATTATGCACATCCTGAATGGAGCTGTTTACTTTCTTTACTAGAGTATCTTATGATAACTGATAAATACCTGCATCCTTGCTAGGGTTAGTTGTATGGTATTTTTTCTTTATGGTAGGCCAGTGACTTTATATAACGTTGAGAATAACTTTGGTTTACCTTCATTTATTTATTCAACTAAATGGCTATTTTTTTTTTGTTGCTGTCTTGAATGATCTGACAGGTACTGTGAACCAAAAGGTGGGCTATTTATGACTACTCTAAAAAAGTTAACTGAAGCAGGCACAGTAGCACACACCTTTAATCCCAGAGCCAGGGAGGCAGAGTGGATCTCTGCAAATTCAAGGCCTACAATTTTGCTACTTCAGCTCAAAGTTCATCCGTAATCACAATACTCAACATGGCCTCTGCTAGCAAAAGAGGGAAGTACTAAGTACACTCGGAAGCTGACACGAGCCAGAGCTATCTCCGGCAGCTAGGACAAATGGAGCTCTACACATAAACTATGCAAATGCTTTAATTTTAGTCAAAAAGTTAAGTCATGTTTATCTTGAAAAACTGGAAATACAGAGAAAAAGGAGTGAGACCATTTTGCTCAAAGGTCTAACGTGGATGCTAATACTATAAAGAAAAAATAATTTCTAAATAAGACTTTTTTTCTCACTGAATTTTTATGCTAATTCTATCTGAATGCTTATCAAATAAAAGCAAAGGTACTAACTACAAATTAAAAACAATTTCTCTCCTTAACTTTCATGGAAACAACAAACCAATGATAATAATGACTACTCAATCACTTAAAAATATGACAAATGTCATCTTTTAATGGCACAAAGCATATCCTGGGGCCAGGAGGAGCTTTTAAGGGTTAAAATAAAAGAACAGCACTTTGGAGTAATGCTGCGAATTGGGGCGAGCAGAAGAGCATTTACAGTGGATTACTAAGCTTCCCAATTCACCAAAGAGGTAAAGTCCAGCAATATAAGACTCCTTTGTAGCTAACTAAAAATACATTGTCAGTGGATTTGTCCAGTTTTATGTATAAGCAATACTCCTTTCACCTGAGCTCACACTAGTAGTCATATAAGCCCCTTATTGCCATGTGCTGCATTTTTTTTTTTTTTTTTTTTACTAATCTTCAAGGATTTAGCTTCTTTGCCACATACCTCAGGGCACCAACTGATAAAGCCCTAACTCTCCATTTTTCCAGGACACCAGCAGTGCGGCCTTGCAAAAAATGAAAATCGCTCAAGAGATTTAAAGGGGAAATTTATTTTTAAAATCCTGACTTGAAGCAAAGAGGTGGTTTTTTAAAAAGCTTATCTCTAAAGAATCAGTTTAAATTTAAATTCTATCTTGGAACCCTTTCATGCGTCCTAGCTTTAAAGTTTATCTTTTGACAGGGACTTTCTACAAAGGTAATGGGCAGCTTTGTCAATTTAATCTGTCCAAGTTTATTTATTTATTTTTTAAATGTTAAATTTCTTTCATTAAAAAAAAAAAAAAAGCAAAGAACCTTACCATCTGTGTGCACTAGCTTGCGTAAATGAGGCTAGCAGGTACTAGCTTCGATGTCCCCTGTGCAGGTATGTTAGAGAACCCCAGCACACTCCCAACGGAAAGCTACAAGGAACCACTCTGCACTCTGGATGCTCAGTGATGGCTGGTAACCCCTCTGTTGTCCATCTTAGCAATTGAGCTCTTTATGTGAGTTCCTTTTTGAAACAGGCTAACAAAATGCCTATGAGCTATTTGAACCATTGGGAAGACAGCGCAGAGGCCTGGCTACTGTTGAGTAGGGAGTGTCTAGTGTGAACAGCAAGCCTGATTCCCGTCTGAGCCCTTGCAGTGCATTCACAGGTACCTGAGATGCAGCCTGCAGTAGCTGTCTACAAATTTAAACACATTCATCTGAATGTTTATGTTCTGGCCTCATGGAAGAGGCCTTGATGAGAAACAGGGAGGGAACATTTCCCCCATTTTACTGTAATTTATTTACTGCAATGCCTTCATTTCACTAGTTATGACAGCAATGAGAGAAGACTAAAAATATGCTGCTTTAAATTAGAAAGGAAGAAAGAAGAAATTCTTTTGCTGAAGGAACAAAAAAGTAAGACTATGATTCTCTATAGTATTGAATTCAACCAATGGTGATTTTGGGACAGATACTAAAGGACTTGAGGACAGATTAAAGTGTTTACTATTTCTGATTACTAAAGTCATCAGGTTCTGAGGTCATCACTGTCTTGTTTTTAAAAACATGGAGTTAAATAGGAGCTCATAAGTTTCTTTAAGGTCTGACACTTTATCAGCCCAGAGGCCACCTTACTCCTGATCCTCAGCCCTTTTTACCCTTCTGTTCATTACTGTGTCCCCAGACCTGCCAGAATGGGGAGTGGCAAGGACAGAGGATTTGGTTAGATAGGCCTAGCCAAGTCACTCTTCTCTCACTGCTGCTCCATGTCACTCAAACATTTCAGAGTACGATTTTCTCAACTACAAAGTCAGCACGGCAATATCAAACCCACAGAGCAGTTTGCAGATTAAATCACGGAATGGCCTGACAGACAAGTATACTCTCAAGTGAGAGTGCTAATACTGCTCCTATCTAGGTCAGCCCATTCATAAATAGCCAGTGTTAGCTCAAATAAAACAGATCAGCCAGAAGGTCAAAGTTGGGCATGTTCTTTATAATGTTGGTAAGTCTACCAGCATAAACAATCTCCCCCCCCCCCGCCCCCCTTTGAGACAGGGTTTCTCTTTAACTTTGGAGTCTGTCCTGGAACCAGCTCTTGTAGATCACGCTGGCCTCGAACTCACAGAGATCCACCTGCCTCTGCCTCCTGAGTGCTGGGATTAGAGGCATGCACCATCACTGCCAGGCCTATAAACAAATTTTTATTATCCATGTATGATCATTATTAGTTATTTGTAAGACAATTCTAAACTGTCATCTGTATATTAAATAAAAAACTAGTGTTTACTCAGTGTTTCTATGAAGGTGGCTTTCACGGTGGATACTCTTTCAGAAGGTATGAAACATTGTTTTCTTTGTTTGATTTGAGACAAGGTCTCATGTACCCCAGTTTGGCTTCAAATAGACTGTGAAAATGAGGTTGACCCTCAATCTCTAATCCTCCTGCCTCTACTTACCAATTGCTAAGATTAAAGACCTGGGCTGTGATGCCTGACTTACGCAGTGTTGGAGATTAAATACTCAGAGCTTTGAATACTAAGCAATCATTCTAAAGTAAGCTACACCTCCAGCATCCCCAAAACTGTTTTAAACAGAAGCAAAGGGTTGGAGTGATGCTGTCTTTTTCTAAAATGTACTGTGAGGCAGGGACTGAGGGAAAGAAACAAAGGTCACAAAAAGTAGGAGAGGATCACAATAGCTCGGCAGTGGTGGGGTTGGGAAATTTACCAGATAACCGCCAAAGGCCCTTTGGGCCTAAGTTGGGTCTATTTATCTCCAGATAATGCTGTCCTTTTGGAGTGACATTCTACATCAAGACTATATTCAAGTAAGCAGGCATTGAAATGCATAGTCAAAGACTATGGGACCAAGCTGTGAAAAACTTTCTAAATAGGGAGAACAAATGTGGGGAGGATTATTATTACATTTACTTAGTTCCAGGTGGGGTGGGAGGGGCACAGCGCACATAAGGAAGTCAGAGGACAGTGTGTGGGAGTTGGTTCTTTCTTTCAACAATGTGAATACTGGGGGTTGAATCAAGGCTGCCAGGCTCGGTGACACACATTACCTGCTGAGTGATCTTGTCAGTTCAAGTATGTCCAAAGAAAAACTTTCACATTCATTTATTTTGCACATATGTATGTGGGAGTCCACAGGTGCTATGGTATACATGCGGAGGAGGTCAGCCTGTGGAAAGTAGCATCTCTCCTTTTATCGTGTGGATTCTCTGAGGATCAAAATCGGTTTGCCAGCAATTGCCTCTACCTACTGAACCATCTTGTTGAATCATCTAGTTTGCTTTACTACCTTTTTCTGACGATATGTAAGAAACTCTGCAGGCTATGTGTAGCCCCATTTTGGGTGTGGTTTTGCAGAAACTTGGGCAGATCAGTGCGTGGAATGAAGAGATGCTTTGTTGCTTACACTAGCCTTCAATCTCCACTCCTATCAATGCCTTCCACAAGAGATACTACCCCTTGCCTTTCTACTGCTACAGAAACCAAGCTGCAAAAGAATACTAGGAGAAGAAAGGATATCTGTAAGTCTACAGTAGCTGACTCTGATGCACTGACAGCTTGCTTAGCATGGCCCAATGAAGTTGCAAACTCTAAGTTTCTACACTTTTATAGGGTAAATCAAAATGGATAATATTATTCCTCTAATTATCCTTGTTTACACAGATAACATTTACTACTTATAATGCCAGATATGTTCCTATACACATTTTAGACATCAATCTTATTTAATTTTCATATAAGCAATATGCCCAATTTCACAAAAGCCAAGATTTTAACTTAGGTCTAACTCTACAATTCGATTACGTATTTGCAAAATTCCTGTAAGATAAGTGACTTTGATAATTTTTTATATTTTGCCATTTCTCTGATCTTTAACCTATCAAAAATAACAGAAGGCTTGAACCCATCTATTAGGTGATAGTCTGTCTAGCTACTGGTAAGTGGGTCTCTGAGGGTTTTGTTTGTTTTTCCCCAGTGTTAGGTAGATCCTGAGCAGACATGGCCTGCCTATTATTATCAACTTCATCTGTTGGGGCCTTCATTCAGATTCATAATGACTGCTCAAACACTGTCACTGACTTCCCAAAGTCAAAGTGGTGCTACATATAATGGCTCTATGTCAGACTGGCTGGGAGTTCAGCTGCTGTTACTCTAGGTGCGTGACAGAATAATGACTAATTACTGTCAGACAATTATCTCTAAAACACTCCAGAATGCGAAGACTGACTGTGCAATAAGGGACACTCTTGTGGATATGTGATCCTCACCTGGGATAGGCCCTCTCCTAGGCTGCCTCTTGTTCATGAATGTTGAGAATACATGCTGGATCTGCGTCATAGGTGTATCAGGAGGGAGAAAAATGTGTGGAAGTGCTTTAAAACTTGACAAGTACCATGTTAAAATAATATAGTATTAAAAGGATAACATAGCTGTAAAGACAGAAATAAGATATGCTGGAGAGATGGCTCAGTGGTCAAGAATACCCATACTGACTGCTTTTTCAGAGGAACTGAGTTTGGTTCCCAGCACCCAGGTTGGCTTACAACCATCTTCAGCTCCAGGGAATCTAATACCCTATTCTCGTCTCCATGGATACCTGCACGTGCATACACAAACACATGCAGACAGACAGACATCTTGTAAAAAGAGAGGACTTAGTGTGCTGTGTCTCATTAACTTGCCAGTGTCCAATTACTGACATTTCTTTACTCATAGCAAAAGCAAGGGGTCTAAATAAATTAATAGAATGAGGCAGAAAAATGTGGCTGTTGTTAGTCAAGTTAGCTTTTCCAGGTAAGTTTGAAGATAAAGATATTGTAACATTATTGGTACTGTATTTGCTATAGGAAGAAAAGTAGTTATTAAATGGAAAGAAGTTACTGGGCATTATTTCGCAGCCAAGTGCAAATAGAGATGATCATGTGTAGGTAGGAGTCTCTTAAGCTCTACAGATGGTCCTCAGCGCTGAGTGAATGTTTGCAACAATCTCTAGACCAAGAAGAAGGGTAGAGCTGTCTGAGCAGAAGCTATATCCTGTATCCACAGAACACAGCTCTCGGCTCCTATGAAACATCCCCATTTTTTACATGGACTCTGCAAGTCTGATCTCCTCACTTGACAGACTGGATCTCTGTATGCAGAGTTACTTTTACCTGATGACTGGTCCACCAGATCAGCAGAGAAAGAGTTTCGATATTAATATGGGAAATGGCAGGACTAAGAGAAACTGCTCAAGTCCTATATGCAGCCTTCACCTTAAGTAATGCCAAAGTGGTTCTCCTAAAGGAGACAAAGACCATTAGCCCTCTGTAGGCCTTCCTGTCCTTTTATAGAAGGAACATGGGTTTACGTATCTCAGGAAAATAGATGTTTTTGGGTACCCAAGAATTGGTATAAGACATTATATAGTAGACTTGATACTGAACAAAAATAATATTCACTTTAGGATTAGTGCATGTGTGTGCATGCGTGTGTGTGTGTGTTAACTGCTAGAGATCAGTTTAGTGAATACAGAGTTTATAACTTGTGATTAGATTCTTCCTAATTTATGCATTTTTAGCATCCCATGTGTGTGGGGCTTAGTTATAAAACTAATGATCTTTGTGATAGAATTATACAATGTCACTTAACTGCCCCTGAATTTAACCACAGATATAACTCCTGGCTTAGTTTACCTGCATTTTGCACTAGGACCTTGTTCAGACAGTGCCAAAAATGATAGCCAGCTTACTTTTTCATGCTTGTGTTTCTCCTTCTCTTTCTCTCTCTTCTCTCTCTCCCTTTTCTCTTTCTCCCTCTCCCTCTCTTTCTTCTCCTTTTCCTTCTCCTTCTCTTTCTTCTTCTTCTTTTCCTTTTTGTCCTTTTTTCTTTCTTTCTCCTTGGGCTTATCCCTTTCCTCAAACAGTTTTTCTGGGAGCATTGGTGACAAGGCAGGCAGCATGGATGGCGGGACCCTCACTGCAGCGGAAGGGCTGAACAAAGGCAGTGCCATTTCTTTTGGGGGTAACACCAGCTGCATCGGAGGGGCCTTTATCTTGTCTTCTCTGCTTCTTTCTTTAACCTTTTCCCTTTCTCTCTTCTCTTTATCTCGTTTGCCTCGTTCTCGGTCTTTCTTCTTGTCCTTATGCTTCTCTTTTTCCTTCCTCACAATCCCATCTTTCAATCGCACTTTTGGATCAATGTCTTCAAATTCTCTGATTTTAAATTTATAAGGATCGGAATCTTCATCTTTCATAAACTCCTTCCACGGGTACCTGACCTCCTTGGCTTCCTTTTCCTTCTCCCTCTCTCTCATTTTATCCTTCTCTTTGTTTCTTTCTTTGTTCCTCTCCTTTTCTCTCTCCCTATCTTTCTGCTTTTCTTTCTTTTTCAACTTAGTCTTCAGTTCTTTTTTCAACTTTTTCTTTACATCCACAGATGAAGGTTGCTTGGCTTTCTCCTCATAACTTTTGTGCAGAGGTTCGGGAGTAGGAGGAGAAATGGAGGGAGAAGAGATATACGAGAAGGTCGGAGGCATGTTAGAAGGGGCTCCTAGCTTTGCTTTCCGTACCACCTCATCAATCGAGGCATCCATTGTCCATGAGTTATCAGAACTTGAAGTTCCGCCAGAAAGAGGCAGAGGAGTAGACCCGGACTTGGTGAAGTTATTGGAAGAAGTGGAAGCTTTTGGAGTGGTGCACTCTGAACCTGAAATCCTCTTAGGACTTGTAAAAGTGTCTACTTCAGATTCCGATCCAGAAGAAAACTCAAAAGGATCTGGCTCCCGCTCTGCACAGGCGCGTGCGATCACAGCATCGATGGAATCATCGATGGTTTTGTCTGTCACCACAGCCTTCTTCGGCTGCATTTCAATGTTCAGTTTCCCAATTTCTGGGGGAGTCTGTGTTAGCTTTATAGGGATGGTTTCCTTAACAGTTTTTTCAACCACCATAGCTGAAGGGGTTCTATTTGGCGTTTCAGGTCTGGCAGGGGGTTGGGGTACAGGAGTTATAATCTTGGGGCTCTTAGGACTCTTGGGGCTCTTAGATCGTCCAGGTGATTTCTTTTCTTTGGGGATGGTTTTTGGTGACCGAATAGGACTTCCAAGCCGTGCTGGTGATAGGGTAGTTTTGGGAGATTTAGTCTTCTGTCCTGGAGAGCTAGCTTTAGTCTTTGTTTTTGGTGTAAATGACTTTGTTTCTAATGGCTTTGCAATTGGTAGTTGTGACTTTGCAAATGGAGCCAGCATTGGGGGCTCTGGTGATGAAGGGGCCAGATCTGTACTATCCTGGACATGCACAGGAGAAAGCATTGGTGGGATCTTCTGTGGATTTATTGAACTAAGAGGTTCTCGTGTTTCCAACAGAATATCCAGGGAATCTCCTTTGGTGCTCAGGAGTCGTGGGCGCTTCATGGTGGGCATTTCTTCCACCTCAGGACTGTCCAGTGGCCTCTTACCCAAGAAATTCTCATCATTGATGACTTCCTCCTCCTCCATTTCATCATCTTCTTCCAAGGGCACTTGCATGGCTTCTGCTGATGTGCCCCCATCAGTGGGCACCTGCTCCTCTTCTTCCTCTGGTAATAGAAGAAAAGGGCATTATTAGAATGGAGCAGAGAGTAACAAACACTACTTCTTTGATGGAAGAAATGGAGTCTACAGGGAGTCCTCCTGGGTCTTCCCACCCTGGGCTTATCATTCTTTTAGAAGTAGCAACAGGAAGACCAGCTTCCTAAATTCATTTCCTAATCTGAAAAAATACTATCTATTTCTATAGTCTTCTCATGCTTTCTCCAATACCCCCATACCCCTCAAAAACAGAGATCAGTTTTCATGACTGCTAATCTCAGAAATGATGGAAAGGCATACTCTTAAAACACCTGTGTGTGCATGCATCTTTATATGTGTATACATGTGTATACTTGCGTGTGGAGGCCAGAGGTTGACACAGGTGTCTCTGTCAGTTGATTTCCACAGTACTCTCTGAGACAGTGTCTCTAAACAAATATGGATATTACACATCCAGGGAGACATGGGTTATGGTAGATTGCCTTCAGGTCCTTATACTTTTGTGGGAAGCATTTTATTAAGACATATTCCCAGCCTTTTGGGGGAAAAAAACAACTGTGTAATAAATTTTAGTTCCTTGTACACAACTCTCATCATAGGTATACTCCTTGGAGGGCCGCATGGTGCAATGCGGCTCAGAATCTGAATCTGTGCTTTAGCTAGAGTTCTGTCCCTACGGAGTGAGGGGTCTTAGGCAATTTCAACCTCCTTGAGCCTGTTTCCTGACTTTCAGAAGGAGCTGATGCACTTGCCCCGCCTATTTGCCTGAGTTGAGTTCTTATAAGATCAGATTATACATTTTTGTGCATATTAACTAAGTATATAAAACATGATGATAAAGGCAAACTATAGGGTCAATTCATAGCCTAAAGCAGTATGTGTATATAGTATATAGGAAAGTAATTAGTACTACAGACAAAGTTATAGGATTTCAAAGCAGAAGAGGGCAACTTGCTGTCAATAGGGAAGACTTCAAGAATAATGCAGTGATTAGAACATTGCCAGGAATACCACAGTACAGGAAGAACAGTTAGTTGGCAAAGAGGAGGACTTATGACACAGAAAGTACGTAACAGTCATGGAATATTGCGCCTGGAAAGTGAAAAGTAAAATGGGAACAAAAGAATGTTGAGTAAAGTTGTATTCACATCACAGAAGTCAGAAGACATCTGCTACTATAGACTGGAATATGTGTAAGATTATCCTGACAGGTACACACGATGAATAGATTGTGGAGTGACAGACACCAAAAGAAGAGGACATATGTAGTTAAGACAGAAGAAGAGACTAGACTAGAAAGAAGTAAGCAAATAGGAAGCAGGAGAGATAAATGAATTCTTAAGACAGTGAACAGACTGCTGCAGGCTCAGGTATGAGCTGAAGGGTTCAAACACAAATCCAAGGCTTCATGGACTAATCAGTGCCATCATTCCACCATTAACAGAAAGAAGAATGATGCCTTGGGGGAAACTTTAGCCAGTAGTGTTGACTGAGCAAATAAAAGTATACTGAAGTCCCCAAAACCAGACCTGGATGCGAGAGGCTTCTGTTGATAACTAGAAAAACAATGGATGAGTGGGATGAAATATGAAGGGCTGATTCAGAATTTTGAGGACTGCTTCTATGTGAAGACAAAAGGAACAATGAAATACATGGATGATCAGGTGTCAAAGAGCTCAAAGGATCAAGAGGTTCTGAAAAGAAAGTTTAAGGCAAGAGACAGAGCTCAGTGGGTAAAGATGCTTGCCAGTGAGACTGATACGAGCTAGAGTCTTGGGGTCCACATGGTGGAAGGAGAGAACTCATGTCATGGGTCATCCTCCCATCTCCACATGCATATTGTGGTGCACACACACATATAAACAAATGAGTCAAGTGGTGGTGGCTCACACCTGCAATCCCAGGACTCAGGAGGCAGAGGCAGGCGGATTTCTATGAGTTTCAGTCCAGCCTGGTCTACAGGTTGAGTTCCAGGACAGCCAGGACTGTTACACAGAGAAACCCTGTCTCAATAAAACAAAATCAAACAAACAAAACCCCAAATGAAAAAATAAAACATTTAAAGGTTTTTGTTTTAACAAAAGGAAGCCCAGTGAATACAGTCAATGCTTGTCAAGAGGTCAGTGAGAATGAAGGCAAGTCAGGCTACAAAAGCATTCAGGGGTGAGTGAGTGAAGCAATACAGCGAAAGTACTCTATAAACTATAAAGACACAGAATTTCAACACAATTATTGCTACACTTGACAAACTCACTGTCATCTCTCCAGTAGCCATGGCAGAAACATGGGAGTCTTTTCAGACCTTTTTTTTTTTTTTTTTTTTTTTTTTGCCCACTTTCCTTCCTAGTTCAACTTCTGAGTACATCGTCTTTGGGTTTAACTATATTCTGGTTACATGTACAAAAAAGACAGCCAAGAGTATTTCCTTCCTGGTCCTTCAAATTAAGGTTTGCTGTGCCAGACTTTCAATGTTTGGAGCATCTAAACATTGCCTTTCCTTCTTTTACTTACGAAAATGTCAGGACAGATTTCAAATGTGCTAAATTACTAGGAGGTAAACCTGTGAAGAACCAGAAAGAAGATCGCTTAGGATAGTTTCCCAGGGAATGAAAGTTTTAGAGTATTTATTAGTGGGCTGAAGATGTAGCTCTGTTGGTAGAATTCTTTCTTAGTATATGTGAAGACCTGAATTGGATCCCCGGAGATGCATAAACCAGCAATGGACAGTGGGTGCCTGGGAAAAAAAGAGGTGCAATGACAGTCAAACCAACTGGAATCCATTCTATCTTTAGAATTACACACCTGTAATTCTAGCATTTGTGAGGTGGAGGGAGGAGGGTCAGAAATGGGGCCTATTGGAAGGTCTTTAAATCATGGAAGGGTACCCTCTAAAGGGAATGTGGATTCTGGGGTACCCTCTAAAGGGAATGCGGATTCTGGTCTCTTTATTTTCTGCCTTTGTTTCCTGGGTCATGACATCAGCAGGTTTGCTCTTCTGTGTGCTCCCCTCATGATGTATTGCTCTGCACAGGCTGAAAGCAAGAGTCAACCAATCAAGAGAAACCTCCAAAATCGTGAGCCACAAAAAGCTTCTCTTTATATGTCCATCATCTTGGCATTTGCTACAGTGATGGAAAGATGACAGACACATCTGGCATGCTTTTGCAGTAGCAGTGAAAAAGAAAATAGTAGGAAACAATACGGATGACTAAGGACAAAAATCTCTTAAATCACACAAAAGGAAAAAAAATACTATCAGCAGCAATGTCCATCTTTTTAAAATCACAAATGTTGATGGGGGCAGGGCAGTACAAACTTCACTGTTATTTTTCTCATTGACAGCATAAATAATCCACACTCCCTACATTTCTCTGAGGAATAATGAAAAAAACATGCTTCCTTAGCAAACTTCTCAAACAAAACCAAAACAAGGCAATAAGGTCTGAACACACCGCAAGGATTTGAGGATGTTAATTCTAAGCTATGATAAATATTGACTTAGAACAAAATATCGTTTTAACTAGAACAGTAAATGCCTTTAAAGAAACACTGTAATCTAAAAAGCTAGTACACATTAGGAAAAAGAGGAAATTGTTTGCACATGGCATGAAAGCTTTTTATCTCATTAACTACACAGATGCATGCCACTTTAACTTCAGTGGCGTGTTCTCAAACCAGGCAGAAAACACACTTCTATTTTTAAACTTTAACTAAAAGGACAATAAAATGCTACCCACATATATTTCTAGCCACTTCATTATGTCTTTGGATAAAGGCTGCATCTTTAAAATGTTGCTGTCAAATATTCTTATGACAGTGACACTAACAAAAGAAGAGAGTCTACTTTTGGGGTCAGGAGGATTGAGAAGATGGCACATAACTGAAACAACCTGATGGAATGAATGGTGAGGGCTCGATGGGTCCGAACAAAGGGTATTGCTAAGAAGGCTGGGTTCGGGGGGCGGGGGGAGGGCTGAACAGATGACCAGTAAGCGGGAGATGGACAGTGGGTGCCTGGGAAAAAAGGAGGTGCAGTGACAGTCAAATCAACTGGAACCCATTTCAACATTCTACCCTTTAGTCTGAGGTTAAAAAAAATTTAATAACATCTATACCGTGGGATATAATATTTTTAAACTGTCCTGTCTATAACCAAAATCAGAATCCTTAAAACACAACATGTATAAATGAGCTTGTATATTTTTTTTAAAAAAATCTACTTACTTAAAAAATACTAGCAAAGACAAGACAATTAGGCAATGACAATTCATAGAGCACAGCCAATCAATGACACGATAAATTAGCAGTAGTGAAGATGTGTTCTAAATACCTACATACCCTGACGTGTAAAAAAGCCTCATTCCACTAACATTCTGCACAATAAAAAACTAGAATGCGATCTAAGCAAGCCAATGTGAAATGACACCTAGCATTATAAATGGCCTAATCTATATGTTAATACTGTTGTATCACATACCTGCAGCAAGACTAAGATAACAATATGACTTTGGGGTTTCTATGGCTACATCCTGGCTAACGGGCCTGAAAGGGCTGGCTGCTGACACCACACAAGCATTCTGAGTGCTTCTTTTTGGTTATTTATGATATGATTTATGATAACGACAACATCTCCCATTTTCTTTCCTCCTCAGATACAATAAATTGCTACCGTTAATCACCCTTCTCCGTTCAACTAGGATTACAATAGCATAATAGTTCCAGCTATGGTAATACTGTGGATTTTTACAAGAAATAAATATAAGCAGATCTCTTCAGACAATGTCAGTATCTCTAATATTTCAATCACCTTCCTTTAAGTCATTCAGAATAAATTTTGCTACAACTAAGATCCCATATCCAGAATATAACCCTTGGTGTGAATCAAGCACCACATACTCACAATTCACGATTGTCACAATTTTCTTAAATTTGTCATACAGGAAGGCTGCCCACAGGGCAGTTTTTCCAAGACAAACAACGGCAATCAGTCGCTTCTTCCCTGAATTGA